ATTAATTTCTACGATAATCGAGATATTGTTCAAAGCTCTCGGTTCGTTAGATTCTTACTTTTGGAGTTTCAGTTTCTTAATTTTGATTGCTTGCCAATCCTTTTTTCTCGCTGGTTCTTGGGTGCAACGTAAAGCCTCTTAACATCTGTTTCAACATTTTCCAGTGATGCATTGGGCGTTGATACGTTCACTTCAAACTATTCGAGATTTAAAAGCGGTCATGTCGAAGAATTCCCGTCTGAATTACACGAAAACGACAAATGGGGTGCCTTTAGTGCATCAGCATCCACTTCCTTGTACTTAATTTCATTATTCAGAAAGGGGGAAACTGCCCTATCTTGTTGCGAACTCAAGTAATGATCCCTCATCATCACGTCAAAGCTTTCAAAATCATCATGGAAGCCAGACGGTGAGTGCAACTAAAATCAAATGTTGAAATATATTCATATAGTTGCAACGCTGCTGCAGGGTCATCATTGTTCCGTAGAATCAAATTACGCATCAAGATCCTCAACCTCAGGAAAAATTTCCTCTGGCCTTACTCGACAGGTAAGTGTTAGAATGCAATAGGAACTTGCTTCGTTTTCTTTGCTAGGAAAGCTACGTTGAAGTTTTTCAGCTCAAATAGCTTCTGATGCATATTACTTTCGTGAAGGGTTAATTCTTTGCTTGCAGCGAAAATTTCGTTCTTTGCCCCAATGTCACCTCTGCTGGAGAGTGCTGCCATCAACAAAGGTGCTTGTTCAGCACCTCCAGCGGCATCTCAGATCATGTCCAAACTGCAGATTATGTGGATCTAAGTATGTAATCTTCATAGAAATATGAAAACTTTGCATGGATTTTTTTTTCAGATTATCCCCGGATGATCCTATGCGCATTCGCCGAATCAGAAAATGTTCCAATTGTATTAGAAAAACAACATGATAAAAATACAAATTTATCAAGAACTGTTCCATAACCGTATTTATAACAACACGTGCTAAAGGACCTGCAAGATCATGAGATGAGAATATGAGATGGCGCTCTGTTTTAAAGTTGATTGTTTCTGAACATCGGAAACGATTACATGGGCCCACTTGTCGTACCAGCTAGTCCAGGAGCGCGTCCATCGCAAGCAACAATTTTTACCCTGAAATCCGGCCCAGCTTGTTTGCCCTATGTATGAGGTTCAGCAAAAACACACCTGTTTACAGTACGATCAATTGATCTGTGCACGTCCCTAAACTCCACACCATCGATGACAAAAGTCCAAACGTTATCGCAATATCGGTAAGTAACCAATTTGTCTGCCTTAAATTGGACCTGAAACGGAAGTTTGTTAAAAGCAGAAAATAGTAATTAGTAATCTAGTCTGCACGAAGCGCGATAAAAAGGTTTCTTATGCACTTCTTGCTATACAGTCGTGATAAACCAATATGTTGCCAATCCAAAAGTTTGCATTATTGGTGCAAAATGAAAGTTCAAATCCAGTCTGGCAAATAAAAATTTAACTGGTACAACAATCCTTGGAGAATCGTATGCACACTTCTCTTCTTCCTCAGGATCTACGGAAGAGAGCATGATCAGTGCCAAAATGTTCTAGTCTTTTGCGACAGTCATCCGGACCATTGCGCATGACACTGCCATTCTCTATCACAGAAAAAAAGCAGCAAGGTTTAGATGGCGGATCCATTGCACTGGGTATAGCAATAGCAACACACATTTATTTCGGATCTGTGACCTCACGTAAGTGAATTAAATTTTAGAGCAACGTATAAAGATAACATAGATGACCGATCTTAGAAACAGATAAAATATAAAAATAGAAACATTAATCCTTCCATTTTGTACCACGCATGCTTGTCGTACTAATTTTGATTTTCTACCCAATTAATCGCTACTATAGCCTTCAAAACATGTGTAAATTGTTTTGCAATTAATTGCTGTTCATCCAAATTTATTCTCACATATATGGAATTCATAGGGGAGTTTTTAGGAGAATGGGGAAGAAAGGGAGAGAAGTTCCAAAAATCTGAATGTAAAAAAATTGGTTGTTCGACGAATAATCCAAGCTTTTTTTGATCACCATCAATGCATTAAGCAAAAACTGAATTAGAAAATCGTTCGCCGTGCTCGAATTACAAAACAATGTTAATAGGCATGGAAGTCTACATTGCTGACGCTCTCATTTGAGTAGAAGACAAAACGGAAATAGACTACCTTGTTTTTAACTCGAAAGGCGAGTGCTTTGTTGATGTTCTTGTCGAAAGTTGTCAACACTTTCATGGCAAGAGGTCTAGTGATGAGACCTTCTTCAACAAACTCCTCCAAAGTGCGATTTAACGCTGTACCTAGCGTTGTCTCTCGATACATTACGTATGCCATACTGTTTTCTAGAATTTGAGAGACAGATAAATGAATCATGAGATGACGATGAAAGCTGGGAAACGTTCACTTGAAAGTTCGAAAAATAAAGAACTAATCGACTCAACTAGATAACAAAAGGATCTGACTTCCTTACGCACAAAATATAAATAGGGTAAAGGTGTTTATTTCTTTGAAAAAATGTTAATCAAGCTTTGCACGATCATTTTGTAAAGAAGGCCACAACTCTTATGAGATATACTGAAGGCACCAGCAAATTGTAGTTAGATGCATATCACAAAAAAAATAATCACATTCAAAATCACATTAAGGAATCACAATGTTCAGTTCCTAATATGCATAAATAATGTATCTTTAAGACAGGGAAGCAATTTGAACTCGAAACCGTTAAACTACAAATGCATTGTTGCGGGAACGTTCAACTAGGTGATTCAGCACCAAACATGACGCTACACTTGAAAAAAATTCTGATAACTCCTAACTTCTGATAGCAGTACAACTGTGTAATAATCAAATGCTCAAATGCGATTGATTCTCAGGAAGTCGCTAGTTTGGCCGACCCATCACAGGCGACAAATTTGACTCTGTTGACGCGTATACTGTCTCGGAAATCTACTTGCTCCATGAGAAAAGTCCATACATTGTCGCAATGTCGATATGCTCTCAGCTTTTCAGCCTGAAACAATAGAGGATAAGCATTTTTTTTATAAAGAAAACAAGAGAACTTCAATGTTTTTAGTTCAAGTACACCTTAAAGAATAGGTGAAATGACGTTAAACTTTATTGAAGCTGTTATGAAGTTGTTATCAATTAGAAGGAGACCCGTATGTAAAACATTTTCTCCTTTGAAAAAGTTTACGACTCCTTGGTAGATGATGCTTGTAGTTAAAGTTTCAGAAAGAGTATGACAATCTACTAGTGTCTCATTTCTCTACCTTTCATTATCTATCAATGTAAGTGTGTTGTTGGTAGTCACCTGACATATATTGTCTAGGATCCTTCATCAAGAAGGAAGCTATGATCATGTGCTAGAAATCTTGATGTTCATTTTGTTTTCTATGCGGTGGCCCTCTTGAGCGCGTGCTGGCTAAAACAGGTTTCCCAACACAATATTTATTTCCTAACATGCGCAACTACCGCTTCACCACCTGGCTGATTTTAAAAATTCATTATTTGAAAGAAGTTTAAATGGAGCTTTACTGGAAGACGTAAAAACAATTATAATATTTATGTCATACAAATGAGACTTTCTGCCACATCCTTCAAAAACAACTTTTTTGGAAAGTTACAGTTTATTCTCGAAACTCTGCGAAGACCTGATAACCGCGCTCAGGATGTTAGCCAATCTAAATTATCCTTTCCCTCTTTAGGTCTCGAGCAGTGAGAAATGCCGCAAGTGAAGGAACGAACGATTACTGACGATGAGATTAGAGTAGCTCGAATCATATTTATTCACAATTGTCCACAAAGCATTATGCATCGTACACAAAACCAGCAGACAGGCATTAATTAGCTGATTGGGATTATGTGCGAATTTTGTGCAAAAAATAGTAATCAAGTTCCTGTCTTCTGAAAAACTTCTATGAAAATCAAGTCAGATTATGTAAGGATACGAGAACTCATGAACTATGAATATCAATCCCTCTGTGGATTTGAGGTCAGGTTATGAGGGCACATGCAAAAA